TTTTTTTTTTTTTTTTTTTTTTTTTTTTACTTCTGTACTCTAGAGCTACCTTGACAAGTTGATATATTTTTCTGAGCTGTTTGCTGTATTTGTCTATTGAACTTAATAAGTCTTGTACTTAATAACAGGTTGCTTCCAGTCTATTCCTTGTGCATGTGATGTCAAAATCAGCAACTGGTGATGGGGGAAGCATGTCAGTTTCATTGCTTGGGAAAATCCATGAAATGTTAAAAAAGGTTGAATTCTTTCATTGTCCTTCCTCAAATCAAGGCCTTCCAAGTGCTTCATTTGATAATTAAATTTTTATTGCAGTTTAATTTCATATCATTTTCTAATGGCAGTGATTTCTTTTGCAGCTTATCAGTTTGCCTGCCTTTGCAGAATTGTCAGCACAATATTTGCAGCGTGGTTACAGGTAGACTACATTTTTTTTTTTTTTTAAGTAGACGTCTAAATAATTGTCCATTTCAATATTTGTGTATTCCGGTTTTATGTTGTTTATTTTATTTCGTTCTTTCATTTTCATTCCTTCTATTTATAATTTATTTACTGTCTTTTGCAGTGGAGGTGATGAATTGAACAGTTTGATATTGAGCGATCTTTATTATCATCTACAGGGAGAGCTTGAAGGCCGTAAAATTGGCTCTGGACCTTTTAGAGAGCTTTCCCTGTTTCTTATCGAGTCCGAAATTTTCCGTTCTTACCAACATAACTATGAAGATGACATTTTTGTGACTGCCAAAGATGCGTACTTGTTTGACCTCGTGCATATGCAGACAGATTTGGGATTAGATCTATGGGATTATTCAGAATGGAAAGAATCTAAGGCAATTGCAGCAAGAATGCTTAGTAGCATGGAGGATGTAAACTCAATGATGCTGGTCACCAGATCAAAACTTACTGCGTTGAAGGCATTGATAGCCATCTTGACTTTGATTCTCGATGACGTAAGTGTTGAGCGTTCTAACAGATTGTTTTTTGTTCTCAATGATATTCTATCCTTATCAAAATCGTAAGTCATACCTAAACGAATACAAAGTGAAAATGAGATCAACTCTTAAAATAAATAATTCAAGATCGCCCTAACTTTGATCATAATTTACAACACTCCTCTCAAGGTGGGTTGTTTGTATTATACAATCCTAACTTGCTAGTCAAATCTTCAAGGTTAAATCTTGGCAAAGGCTTGGTAAGAATATCCACCAATTGTTGTTCGGTAAGCCCATATTTGAGTTGAAGTACTCATTATTGTCTTTTTCTGTCGATTTCAACATGTTTTGTCCTACCATGATGAACTAGGTTCTTTACGAATCAACTCTCTCGATATATATGCCTTCACAACAAGCAAGTGCTCTAAATTCAACTTTTGCACTACCATTGACCATGGAGTTCTTTTTGATCCTCCATGTAACAAAATTACCCCATACAAAGGAACAATAACTTCAGGCCGATCTTCGACCTGTGTTGTCAACTGTCCAATCTACATCAGAATATACCTCGATGTTTCTCTTGTCAGTTTCTTTGAAGAAAAAAAAAACAGTTATTTCCCGAAGTTATGTTTAGATATTTGAGGATTTGATATACAAATTCTATAGGTTCTTCATTGAGACTATGCATAAACTGACTAACCATACTAACAATAAATCCAATACTTGGACGTGTATGAGAAAGATAGATGTTAGTATGCCCCATTTTGGGGTGTGCTTTCATGATGGGGTCCAATTTTCTTTTGAGAGTCCATAGAAGAGTTTGCTAGTTTCATACGAACTGATGAAGGAATGACCTTGATTTAAGAAATATTTGTGTAATTCTTAGCCTTAAGTTGATCTCCTTAATTTATTTGTATTGTTACCCAGTATCTAGGTATTTATTTGATTTTATTCTTACCTAGTATCTAAGGATTTATTTAGATTTATTGTTACTTAGCATATAAGGATTTTAGTCAGCTAAAATAATTTACATTTATAACATGGTATCAAGTCATTCTATTTTGGGAAGCTGATTAATTGGCGTAGCTTCCATAGCTACCCATCTTCCTCCTTGACCAAAAGAATATAAAGTAAAAAAAAGGAGATAAAAGCCTAAACTAAAAAATCTCTAAGATTGCCTAACTTTGACCCAAATTTATAACACTTGTTTTTTTTTTTTTTTTTTATTATTCTTCTTAATTCAAAGAAGTCTAAACAATGTTTACTTTGATGATTCGCTAATTTGTATGCCACATTTACGTTCTTGCAGACTTCGAAGAAAGGGGCTACAATTAGAAAAAATAACATCGATCAACTTGCTACGCATTGCATTGCTGACGTATGTCATTATCTCCATGCGACTATTGAATCGTTAACATTCGGTTTGGGTATCTCCGATTGTGTCCTTGGTTTTCTTACAGCCCAATTGGAATTGCTAATTCTCCTCATCAGATCTGCAAAGAAGACTGTGCCTCTGTCTGTATGTGCACTTATTGTAAAGACCTCGGGCTCTGGTCTTAAACAGTTAAGTTCCATCCAGCCAGCTGCTGGAGCTAATAAGACAATTAATCTCTTACTGAAGTTGCTTCTTTCTTCTGTGGAATATCATGATCTTAATTCATGTTCTAATGGAGAAAGTGACCCTTCGTATGTCAAAGACTTCGCTGAATTTTCTAATGTTATGTTGGGTCTGCTACCTATATTATGTAGCTTCACCACAAATGCTGAGCACTGCACCCTGGCTTTGACTACTCTAGACTTGATACTAAGAAAGTTTTTGTCGTCGGAGACATGGCTTCCTGTCGTACAGAAGCATCTCCAGCTGCAACATATTTTCGTGAAGCTTCAAGATGAAAACAGTTTTTCTTCTGTTCCTATATTAATGAAGTTTTTCTTGACCCTTGCTCATGTTCGGGGAGGTGCTAATATGCTTATAACATCCGGTCTCTTGTCATATCTGAAGTTATTATTTACTCAATGTTTTGATGACAGTACGTGCTCCCGATTTGACTATGATAGAAATAACTTAATCTCTGGTGATAGACCTCAAAATTACCACCAATTGATTTGGAAACTTGGATTAGCTGTTATCACTGCTGTAGTGCAATCTTTAGGAGATGGTTCTTATCTAGATGTTCTTGATAATGTGATGAACTACTTTTTCTCGGAGAAAATGTATATGATCTCCTACCATCTGAATGCACCAGACTTCTCCCCTGATGAACATGACAAGAAAAGGTCACGTTCTGGAAGAACCAAAACTTCTCTTAGTGCTCTTAGAGATACAGAGCAAACTCTCATGCTGATGTGTGTGCTAGCAAGACATAGGAACTCGTGGGCCAAGGCGACCAAAGAAATTGATTCGCAGCTGCGTGAGAAATGCATTCATATGTTAGCCTTTGTTAGTCGAGTGTCTCAACGCCATGGAGAATCTCCTGTTAGGGTTGCTCCTTTCATATGTCCTCCAAACCTCAAAGAGGAGTTTGAAGATTGCAAGAAACCATCGTTTATACGCTGCAAAAGTGGATGGTTTGCTCTTTCTCCTCTCGCTTGCAGATCAAAACCCGAGTTCTCTGGTCCCTCAACATCTTTGATAGTCAGGGGTCAAACCACTGAAAGTGAAGATCCAGTTTGTCAAACATACTTCTCTGATACTCTAGCCTTACATATCTATACAATTACATTCCTTCTTTTGAAGTTTTTATGTTTACAAGCCGAGGGAGCTGCTCGAAAGGCCGAGGATGTGGGTTATGTTGACCTCACACATTTTCCAGAACTTCCAATGCCCGAAATTTTACACGGGTTGCAGGTATTTCTTGTAATTGCTGCAAAGCCTACTAGTATTACTTCGTTAGCCACTTGGAAAACTAAATAACTGTCTGTCCATGTTTGTTATACAGGATCAAGCAATGGCTATCATTTGCGAGCTCTGTGATACCGAATCAAAACATATTGATATTGATGCCCAGAATGTCTGCTGTTTGCTGCTGCAAATTATGGAGATGACCCTTTACTTGGAACACTGTGTTGTGCAGATTTGTGGCATAAGACCTGTATTAGGCCGAGTGGAGGGCTTCTCAAAGGAAATCAAGTTATTACTGAAAGGTAAGATCTATCATTACTTCATGCAAGTAAGATCCAAATACTGTTTTCAAACCCTTCTCTGGACCCCATTAATTGTAGGTGTGAAGAGGCATGCATTCTTGAAGCAATCAATGAAATCCTTGAAACAGATACTGTCGTTTGTCTATCCTGGATTGGTGCCAAGTGAGAATTTTTGAGGTCGGGGCCTTACAGGTGAATGTTAGCTTTGTATATATATATATATATATGGTGCGGATTTTCCCACAGGCGTCGGGTTATTTAGCTAGGATTGTAGTTCTAGTAAATATTATGAAAATGCAAGAGCCATATAATGCATGCTGCGAGCTTGTATGGGATTGATAGGGCTTTGCAATTGCAAAGATGAACTATATGCGAGAAATGTACACTTTCTTAACTATGAGATGCAGAGATTGTTTAAGAAAATAATCACGATCCATGTTTGACGGGGAGGTTTGTCCGAGTTGTACTGAAAAATCTTTTAGATCAATTTAAAATTTCAGGTTGGTTGGGTTGATGGCTGAGGAACTCGAATAAAGTTCACAATCCCGGTCTCGGATCCAACTCAACTTTTTATTTTTAAGTTGGGTTGGGTTGGATTGTCGGGTTGTTTTTTCCTAATTATTTTAAAAAATTTATTTATCCGTGGTACATGTTACATTAGTCGCTAAAACTTTATAAAATCAAATATTAAACATTCATAAGTTACGATGCATGACAAGCACCTGTTACAAATGTCAAATATTCTCAATCTTTCATAATAATGTTAAAAGTATAATAAGATAGAGTTAGGTTGTACCTCTATTTTTGAATTGGTTTGGTCGAATTGGTTTGGTTATCTCGACCAAATGATGTAAATGTGCATAAAACTTGAATTTTTTGTTTTCCAAAAATTCAACAATTTATATATATATATATACACTAACTTTTATAATTTGTGTTGGATGGTCTGAATTGATTGAAAAAAAATAAAATAAAATAATTAGTTTGTAAGTAAAATTTAAGAAATAAATTAAAATCTTATATTAGAACATTAAGAAATAAATTAAAATCTTATATTAGAACGTAATAAACGACGATAAATCAAATTAAATTTATAGGTGACACGGGTAGATTTAATAGTGAAAAATCTTAAAATAAATATCATATACTTATGTTCTTTCCATTTCCTTTTAATAAGTTTTAGCATTATTTGCATATAATTATCGTTCATGATTTAAATTATGGATTTATACCTCACTTTCAAACATAATAATAATAATAATAATAATAATAATAATAATAATAATCATAATAATAAAAGAAGAAAATTACAAAAATCATAATCAACAATTCAATTTCATATATTAAATAAATGGGGTGATTTTATCATTAAGTATATATGAAATAACAAACAAATAATAATAAGTTTTCAATTCAAATTTTTTGAGATTATATACTACAAAATAAAATAATTATTTTAGTTTTCAAACCCAACTAATTATAAAAAGAGATAACAAATTGGTAAATTAATTTAAAAGATAATTTAAAAAAAAAAAACTAAAAAATTATAAATAGTTTAAATTTGATTACATTCCGAAACGGATTGGGAAAAAGAATCTCAGCCGTCGGATCGTCTATCAAGCGTCTATAAAATTAGGAAGGAAATAGCTTGAGAAGGGCGTTTATTACCGCTTATTCTCTCTGCTACCCACCGTAACCCATTTACTCAAGAAACCGCAGCGGAGACGAAGAATCCCACGCGATAACTCACAGCGAAGGCATGGCGGCTACTATGTCACCGTGGGGCAAGCCTGGAGCTTGGGCTCTGGATGCGGAGGAGCACGAGGCTGAGCTTCTCAAGGATCAGCAGGAGCAATCCCGTTCGCAATCGGAGCCCAGTGCCGACTTTCCGTCTCTCGCCGCCGCGGCTGCCACCAAGCCTAAGAAGAAGAAAGGTCAGTCCATTCCCCTCTCGGAGTTTCATACCTATGGTGGTCCTAAGCCGTCGGCTCAATCCAGTGAGCCAAAGGGTCTTACGACCGAAGATCTAATGATGCTTCCGACGGGTCCGCGTCAGCGAACGGAGGAGGAACTGGACCGCAACCGGCTCGGAGGTGGTTTCAAGAGTTGGGGTCAGAATAGTTTGTATGACAGGGGGAATCGGTATTCTAATGGTGAAGATTCGTCGAATTCTCGACGCGGTTCTAGGGTTTTTGATGAGTCGAGGAGGAGTGGTGATGGATCCGATAGGGAGTTTGGAAGGGAGTCGTTGCCTTCTAGGGCTGATGAGATTGATGATTGGGGCGCTGGGAAGAAGCCTATGATGGGCAATGGCTTTGAAAGGAGAGACAGAGGAGGAGGAGGAGGCTTTTTCGATTCGCATTCATCGAAAGCTGACGAATCGGATAGTTGGGTGTCGAATAAAAGCTTTTCACCTTCTGATGGTCGGAGATCAGGCGGTAGAGGTGGTGGATTTGAGAGAGAGCGAAGAGTAGGCTTTCCCTCGAACGGTGGTGGCGCTGATTCGGACAATTGGGACCGAAAATCTGAAGGTTCCAGGGGTAGAATTGGTGAGAATGGTGGTGGGGCTGATTCAGATAGCTGGGGAAAAAGATCTGAAGCATCCAGAGGTGGTATTAGTGAGCGGCCGAGGCTTAATCTACAGCCTCGTTCACTCCCTTTGAACAATGGGAATCAGGAGGCTTCTGGTGCCGCAGTGAAGCCAAAGGCTTCCAATCCTTTTGGAAATGCTAGACCAAGGGAACAAGTATTGGCTGACAAGGGTCAGGACTGGAAGAAAATTGATGAGAAGCTCGAGTCAATGAAAATTAAGGACACGGTTGTGAGAGCTGAGAGATCTAGTGGGGCTTCCTTCGAGAGAAAAGGCTTTGGAAGTCGAAATGCTTGGTCTCCTCAAGATCGTTCAGGGAGCGCATGGAGGAGGCCAGAATCTTTGGAGTCTCGTCCCCAGAGGTTTGCATTATACTTAAAACTTTTTCTGCTTTGATTACATACGTATACTCTTGGCTGCCCTTTTGGGATATTGTTTAATTTGCTTCTTTCTTCTAGGATTCTTGTAGATTTAGTTCATGGTTTTAAGAGAGATCTTGGGCAAACTGAATAAGCAACTATGGAAATTAACTCAAGTTCTAGCATTTTGTACTAGATGATGATGATGATAAGTATTGTTTGAAAGTGAAGATAGCTGTGGCAACTTCAATTTTTTTTTTGTCTAAATGATAGTTTTAGTGGCTTTCTGTTATCATTTGGATCAGAATGGGAAACTACTGTTCATATGACTTGCTTTCCAAGGATGCTTGTTTTGTTCATTCAAATTTGTTTGATCTTGAACTAGAAGTTATTGACCGTATCAAATTCTGTTAGAACTTGGAAGCCTTTTCTTTTGGCAATTGAGATGTAATCATGTTCCTTTTGTAGTTTATCTTTCTATGATAAGATTGGAGGGTGAGATCTTTAATTCTAGTTTCTTTTAAGCCTTTTTTGTGTAATTATCTTCTTGCATGTTGTTGAATCAATCATTTGATTCTGTGTTGCAGTGCTGAGGCGGTTGATGTTGGACCTGCTGAGGAAAACTGAAGAAGACGGTATTATAAGCAATTGATTGATCCTGAAGTTGAAATAATTAAATTGCTGATGAAATTTTCTGATATTCATTATTGAAGGCTCTTGAATTATTTACTGTGTTCTTCCATGAAATTATAAGCAAAAAAGAAAAAAAAAAAGACAAAAAAGAAGTATACATATAAAATTTTGTTTCTGTGAGTGTTATTGATGGGGATCGAAGTACAGGACATTGTGCAATTTTGGTAGGGTTAAGGTAGCTTGGCTAGGCCATTTATGGATTCATTTGTACCTCTTGTTGATGATGTTCCTGAGAAAGATTTGTTCAAACTGTACTGTTGTTGTCACTGAAATCAGTATTGTGTTCTGTTGAGAAATTCCTACGAGTTTGATTGTGTGTTTGTGACCTGAATTATTGTCTGATCGAATTATGATTTCTTCATTATTGTTCAACTCTACAAATGAGATTGCCTAGGTTCTTATTTTAGTTCTTTATTGTCTGAAAGTTGATCGTTTGCTGAATTGGAAACAGTGGTGCTCTGTCTCTCTCCCAACCCTGCCTTACTGGTCTGGCCATGTGTTCTTTTCTTACCGGTACCCGTGTGAGAACCCATATCGATTGGAGAGGGAAATGAGTGCCAGTGAGGATGTTGGACTCTGAAGATGGTGGATTGTGAGATTTCACGTCGGTGGTTGGAGAGGAGAACGAACCTTTCTTTTAAGGGTGTGAAATTTTTTTTCTAGCTGACGTTTTAAAAGGCTTGAGGGGAAGTCCGAAGGGAAAAAAAAGCTCAAGAGGGTGTGAAAAACTCTCTCTAGAAGACTATTTTAAAAGCCTTGAAGGGAAGGCCAAAAAGAAAATTTAAAAGAAAATCCATTTTAATAGTATATACTTGTCCTAAAAATAAGCTGATTAATCTTTCTATAACCTTTTCTTTAAAACATATCTTCGTAGAGAGTTTTCCATTTTGATTGAATTGATTAGCTACGTGGGATAAGAGAGGGGTCGTCGTCGCTCCCCCAATGAGGGGGACTATCATGGACTTGGGAGGAACTCGGTAGTCGAGAGACATCAACCATTCACAACTCAACATGAGGAACTCTTAGGGTTTGAATTGATGTCTTTTTTTAGTTTTCATGCATACACACTACACATCATTGTCGTTTTGAGTCACGACTCATAGTAAAATATTGGGTCGTGACACAATTGCTCTCAATCAGACGTTTCCTGAATTCATCATCCATATACCCAATACTCTTCATCCAAATCTTGAGTATACGACATGGAGCATTACAGCTCATTCAAATCCTGATCCTCATCCTAGGCACCCGAATTCGTCATCCCAATAAGTTCCAATCCATTCCATCCAAACCCTAAGCACACCAAAGTCGTAAGGATTAGAAACCATTCTAAACATTTGAAATTCAATCCCAAGCCAAGCTTACATGAACAATTATCCACTAATAATTACAAAAATAAGGCTCGATTACTTACCATTTCTTGTTCATATACTTCAAAATTGCATTCCATTTAAACAAATTTGGGGTTGGTGGCATTAACATCAATGGTATATTCATAAATATTTCTCCATCAAACGTTACAAATCTCATTAACATTCCAAATTAGCATAAGAAATACACAAATTACAACAATCATTGTCTTCAATCACATACTATAAGAATCAAGAACCACCTCCCTAATCAACCATTGAAAGAAACACCATGGCAATTCCCCGGCTAGCTAT